TAAATCATAGGGGGATAAAGTGTAATTTACCCTTTAAACTCTGAAGTGAGAAAGGTCCAAAAATACATAACATGGTTGAAATTGAATGTCTTTTGCGCCATAATGATTTTGCTTGCCTACATATCTACTGTAAAGGCAACCTTCTTGATTCTAACGTGAAAATGAGTTTTTGACTCAAACATTTAGGGGTGTCCAAAAGCCAAACGACAACAGGGTAAATCTACAGTATCCAGAACTCTAGCAACGTCCACCAGTGATGACTTTTTACGGGTATTGGTTAACATTGAATATTCTATGACGGTGAGAAAGGCTAGGAATTGTTGGACCAGGCACAAAAAATTCTCTCGCCGCTCAATTAGAAACCATAATATTGTATGCACATTAATATGATGGGCGTAGAAAACCACTCGAGACTGCATCAAAGAGACATTCATCATAGGATTGCAAATGAATCGAGCCGCTCGAGCGGCTCGAGTCAAGCTTGAGTCGAGTTCAGAATATTAAACTCGTTAGCTCGCGAGCCTTGGATATATATATATATATATATATTATTTTTATTTTTATTTAATAATAAAATTACGTATATTATATATATATTTTTTATTTTTTATTTTCATAGTAAAATTACGTATATATTTTTAATATTTTATTATTTATTAAAAAAATATTATTTTATTTATTTTTTTAAAAATAAAATAATTATTTTTTATTTTTTTTCGAGCTCGACCTCGAAATTTGCCGGCTCGCCGGCTCGTCGAGCTCGGTAAAATTTAGTCGAGACTCGACTCAATTAGTTCAAAACTCTACTCGGCTCGACTCGTTTGCAGCCTTAATTCATCAAAATGATAGTACACGGTAACGTCCAAAACACGACCAAGAATTTTATCATAGCATAAAACTTTTTGCAAGATTAAAGGTTCCAAGTACGGTGGACGACAAAGCTTTTCTTTCTAACCAATCGGCTCGGACTGGTGTCTGCCCGTGGTTTTCCCGTTTAAGCTTTAAAGATTGAGATAATTTAAGAAACCTCTCCTGAGATTTCTGACTACTGCAGGCAGCTCTTCTTTAGTTTGAAAAATTATACTTACTTTCTCTATTATTAGTATTGCAGTAACAATATATACTCACTATGCTAAATTTGTCCTCAAAAATTCTAAAATACCCCTTTGTGAGAAGGGGGAAAAAAATGCAATAACAGTCTCTAAAATCTTTGAAGGATTGATCTGAGGCCAAATGGCGCACCTTTTCACATGTATGATCACACAACACTAGAAAGAATTTGAAGCTGTAGCTCAGTCAGCGATCCCTAGCTCCTTTGGCCATAGTTCTTGGCCTCAAGAAAATGGGAATTAAATTGGTATCTCAAGTAAATTTAGGGGCAATGTTAATGATGTAGGAGCATATGTCGAATTGATTGCTGGCAAGCAGAGTCTTGATCAACTACATACCTATTATACTACCTCAGCATAATTATACATGGACATATATCTAACAACACAACTTGCGTAACTGTACTCATCACGCACACATCTAACTACATAACTTGCACCAGATTTGTTTATTGAAATTTCATATTTCACAAGCTTTTCTTACTCTTGCAAATGTATTAAACTTCTATCCTTGGAGAAGCTGTCACAAACCCAAGACATCTTCCATAGAGGGTAAATACACTAGAGGAGTAAACCATGCAGATATGGAACCAGAAACATTTGTTTTCAGTAGCAGAACTAGAAAATTTAATTTGAGAGGGCACAATATATACACATGTAAAATTAGGAGCCAAAGTTTTGAAAGACAAAAGATCAATAAATATAGAAAATTTTGAAAATTCTCAAACTTTGAACAGTAGAAAGCATGACTTTCTAGAATTTGGGAGGGCAAATAGTTAAATATATATATAAAAGATTTGAAAATTCTCAAAATTTTATGGGTGACATGCATGAATTTCTAGAACTTGGGGCGGTGGCCCTGCCCCGCTCCCCTAGTTTGCCCTTGTTTATGACACGGCTAGCTTTATACACATCTAAACTTTAATGCATCATACATAATTATCAAAGTTTTTTTTTTGTGGGGAACTTTTTCTCTTTTTTTATTTAATACAAAGGATACTTTTGTAAATTTTCTAAGTTATCATGGGACAAAACCTAATTTTCTTGGAATTGGGCAGTGGCCCCTCTAGCTCAACAATGTAACAGCCGGTATCCTACGTGCTTGTGAAGAAATCAAAACTCTAAGGTGAAGACGGTGGATCACCCGATGAGACTGATTGATGGCCTTGATATATAAGCAGCTACTCACTGAAATTGCAGCTAAAGTATGCAATCCTAAAATAACTGCTGATCAGATTACCTTTTGAGGTAGAGAAGCTACAGATAGTTTTAAATTATTTATTTTATTTCTCTAATGCTGTTACCAACACAAGTTTTGCACCCTTTGAAAGGTGGGGGCCAGAATTTTCCTTTAGTGAGGGCAAAATAAGATGCAAATATTTCTTAACTTTCTGAACAATTACTTGTAATAGTGAAAGCATTCATATAACATAGAACAAGTAATTTTATTTTATGTGCTCTTTACAAATTAGTGGTGGAACAAGCAATGCTTTTAAAAATTCATAGTTAAAATGTTCATTTTAACTTTGGCCACTGGAGATAGTGTAGATCAACGCTTAAAATTAAGGTTAGCTCTTGACGTTACAAATATTGCTGAGGATCCAATTTAAGTTAGTGACAAACATTGCTATATATGTCTTACAGAATTTTAGATAATGAGCCTCTGAGTGTTTAATTAATTAATTTTTAATAAGATGGAGAAAAAACTCAATCTGGCCGCCAAAGTACAGTTTGAAAGTCTTCGATGCTCTCGTCAGAGTCAAGCAGGCTGCTTAGTGCGGAGTTGGCAGTCAAAAGTATGAGTACAGAATCTTGTTAGTGATGATGCTGCCAATTTTGAAGCCTATGTCAAAAAGTTTCAAGAGATTAAGACTCTAAAGTAAGCTAGAATGTCAATTTGGAAAAGCATGCAGCTAGACCAAGAATTTTATGCGCCATTTGTTTATTTTGGGACAAATCTTTCCTGGTCTTGGTTGAGGTAGAGTACGGCTTCTCGTGGGACTCGTGGGTTGCTGGATTTTGGTTACTTACGTAGCATTTGCTAATTAATTATTTGATGATGTTGCCTACAAAAAAAAAAAGTAATTTTCTAATTCTTAAGGTCCCTCTCTTTAATCATAACCAACTGAAAGCAAATCGTGCAGGACGATTTCCAGCGAAATGATTAATAATATTGACTTATGTTTTGAGCAAGTTGGTCTAATATGCATAATTGTACACTTGTGTCGCGATTAATTTTAACACCTAGGAGTGCTCTGTTAAATTACCCTACCTGAGTTAAATAACACATGTTGAAATAGTTTTGCGTAAACTTCGTCTAGTATGAATAGTTCATTTTTACCATATCATAAACGAAGACAGGTCAATTGGGATACTTGTATCAAAAGAATAAAGCACAATAAGCAAATGGCGAGAGCAAGCAACGGAAAGTAATTTTCCTCTATGCGTTGTAACATTGGATAAAATAAGACAACATGATATATTAAGATGGATAAATTACACTTTATCCCTCTGTAGTTTAGTATTTTTTCATGTAACCCCATGTGGTTTTAAAAGTTATATATAATCTTATGATTTGGATTAAAGTATTAAACTGACGAAATTTACATTCCATAACGAAACCAACTATAATGTTAAAAGTATCTATATATAAAGTTGAAAATTATTTATTAACCACTGAGGAATTCTGTATATATTTTGAAAATTATAAAGGAGTTACGTAGTAAAACACAAAATCATAAAGGGTTAAAGTGTCATGTATGTTATGTTTATATATTTTGGTCACTTTAGCCATTTTAGTTTTTAAACAAAGGTAATCTTAACATTTCTATGAGTTCTATTACAGAGGATTTTTTTTGTCACTTTGTCCCTTTAGCCCAAATCATGAAAGGGTTATATATAGTTTTTTAAAACCACAAGAGGATTAATATGAAAAATTGCTAAACCACAAGGGAGTAAAGTATATTTTACCCTATTAAGATTTCTAAGCCATGACATGCCAGTCTAGTTAGGATCTCAAATTTGAAACTATCTATACCATGATTATTACTAAATATTTGCATAATAAGTGGGATAGTAATTTCAAAAACCTCCTTTGAGATTTTTGATAATTTTACTGAGCTCCCTCGAGATTTTAAAAATTATACCTACTTTTCTTATCCACCTAAAATGATAATATTAGCTTTAACATTTTAATAAAGATCCCTTCTTAGGATGCATATACAAATAATGGAAGTTATAATCATTTTTTCTTTTTTTTTTTTTTGGTTTCTCTTGCAATTTCTCCTCGTTATATTTTGTCAACTCATGAAGAGGAGAGAGGAAATGTTGATTTTTTTTACTATATCATGTGTTGTAGTTTACACCATTATCCTTATTGTAAAGGGGAAACTTCACATTTCTTGTTAACATATTCAAATCAGACTTAGTTAATTTATTTAGCTTGTGTGTCATGTGTATAATTCGTTGGTCCTTTAATTGTAACTTAGTTCCATCATAGCCCTAGGCAGATTACAAATCATTTTTCGGTTCTAAATTCTAATCCAAGTACCTTAAAGTCCGCGTCAGAATTTTTACTGGTCTGTTGCATTTGATAAGTTTCTCAGTCATGCAATTGTAGCCCATATATAAATTGGTGCTTGGCTGAAAATTTTAGCTGAAGAGAGACTGAACAGAGAAATTTTGGAAAGCCTCCAAAATTTGAAAGAATTCTTAGTTTATAGCTGATGAGTTTTGAGTGAATAAAATCATTTACTGCTTGATGGCGAATTTTTGGTTTTATTCTTATTCTCTTCAGACATATATTTCTATGTTTATTCAATAGCTATCATTATGTGCGTTTTTATGTGCCAATATTTTTTTTATCATTATTTTGGCGGAGGAAAAGATGGATACAAGAGAAAAATTTATCCATTCTTTTAAGGAACACAAGCGAAATGAGAGTAATGATGGCCAAGAAGTAGAAAACCAATCAGGAAAATCCCTCTGGAGGACATGGTAATATCTTAGTATACTGACACGCCTCGAGACCCTCGAGGATACTGTTTTTTGGTCTAATCCCGTGATCAAGACGGTCATGGTCATCCATAAATTCTACCTCCTTGTACCTTGGTCTTCCTACATTCATGGTCTTCCTTTCTGACATTTTCTTACGAAAGTAAGAATTTTTGACAAATAAACCTACATTCATGGTCTACATTCATGGTCTTCACTGCCATTTCTTTTTGCATACTTGTCAATCAGCACTAGTAGATAACTGCCAGACGTCGAACAGCATTCAATCGCCTTGCTTGCCCCGCTGAAGGGCGGATTGAAGACTTTTAACTAATTCCTGCATTGTCAGGTTGAATTCTTTCTCCATCTGGAAAAATGTTTTAAGGAATTAGAACAAACCAAAAAAAAAAAAGATGTATCATTGCCAATCAAAATATTAACCTGAATAAATCTTCCTTAACTATGAGCTCACCTCGGCCATAAGAGTAACATCAAGAGCCAAACGTCCAAATGGCGCAACACTTGTGTGGATAAGAGTAAGATTCAGCATTTCCACCTCAGAAAGAATTTTTACCAGCACCCCTCGATAATTTCGGCAGTGTACTCGGAGAAGAATATTTTTATTGCATAATTTAGCTTCAATTTCAGGGAGTGGCTGCTCATCAGAGCCACCCATCTCATCTGATGATCCTTCATCTTCAACTAGGAGCTGTGATCTCTTCACAAGCACCATCGATTCCATGTTCTGTTTCGCTGCTTGTTCCTCCAGCGTCTTCACTCGCTCCTGAAGATGTTTCAAGTAACTGATAGCATCTCCAAGAACAGAAGTTTTATCCATCTACGACAGCAATAAGATCTTAATATCAAAAACGTTTTGTTGGTTTATTGATGTTCTTGTCATTCTTGTAATAATAAATTCATAAATTACCTTCTTGAGGCCGGGAACTAGAGTTGACAGAGCTACAAATCTCTGGCTGAGCTGCTCGCGGCGCTTCCTTTCTGCTACAATGTGATCATAAGTTTGCGATGCTGGCCTAGTGCGGCCACCTGTTTTCTTTCTCTTCTGGGAACTTCTGGTTGCCTCCTCAAGGTTTACAAATGAACCATGGGACTTCAAAATCTCAGACACGGCATCATCCTCAAGATTTATCTGTTGTGGATTTATTTCTGCGGGCATAACTGGATTGCCAAAAGTGAGAATCATTGGCTGATTATGATGATTTGGGATGTTTCCAAGACTGGAAGAGTTCAAGTCATCGGACTTTTGCTGTTTTGCCGGTCTTTCAGTACTAATTGGAGGAGCATCCATGGTTGAAAATGCAGACAAAGTGGTACTGCAAGTGCTTATTGGAATGAAGGTGGAGGAATTAGTATTCCCTTCCGGGGACAAATTTGCGTTCAGGAATTCTTCATCCAGAAAATCCATAACATCATATTGGTCATTGAAAAATGAATCTTCCATTCCCTGTATTTGAAAGAAAAGTGGAAATGTATAAGAAATAGGTTAAGTGATCAATGGAAGTTTTTCCAATATAATTACGAGATATGCAGTTCTTGAAACTCCTTGCAAATTTTGCATTATTATGGGTAAAAAATATGTTCTAACGAAGCTTAATGCTAGATCGACAAGTACATCAAATTAGATTTAGAAATCAAGGCTATTTACGTGCTCCTAGATTTCAAATTTTCATTTAATTATGCCCGAAAAGGAAAAATCCATTTTTGAGTTCTGAATCCTCCGTTGACCGTATTCTTAAGCCATTATTCTCAGCACTTACCAGTAGTTGTAAAAAAGCAAAAAAAATCTGGCTTGGAATTCCTAATTTGAGAATGAAAATGAACTATGTTACGTACAATCTTACTTTTAGCTAAAAAGTAGTTGTGTAAGAGAACCAAAAATTTTAAAAAAATTAAGGTATACTGACAGGCTATTTTTTTTTTTTTTTTTTTTTTAACTTGAATGAAGCGATGAAAGCACTGGTATCGTGGAAGTCTGTATTCTTTTCAATGTGCCAATAGTGCTGCTAAAAGTAAATTCATGGCGAAGGAGAACTCATCATAAATAGTGAAAAAAGGAAGAAAACTCACCAGCTCAGAGAACCATGAACTACTCACTGGATTATCCATGAACGTGGGTCTTCTTGAGTTCGTAATTCACTGTAATTTATTGGTATAAGTATGAGACAGAAATGTGTACAGAAAAATGTAGAAGTGAAATGTTTGAAGAAAGGGAAGCTCACGAATAAACAAGTTTTGGCATCTTATATAGAGATATATAGTGAATGGAAGAAGAATGATTGAGGTTTTTTTTTTCTCTTATTAAAATGCACAAGGAAACATCAAAGTCAGGAGATTGATACCAGCGCTTCAGAAGGAACCTTCCGCCCTCCATGCTCAGTGTTCGAGTCTCTACCTGAATGGTGCGCAGAAGGTGAAAGAGGGGAAGTGGAAGGCGTCACGAAATGCCAATTTGTACTCTACATATGGTCTTAGACTAAAGATCTGAGGCATGTGTACAATTCTGGTTTTTATAGTCTTGTAAAATTGTTGTTTGTGACGCCTCTATAACGAAATCGTGTGCGTGAAATAGTAATGTTTACAAATGTATATCGAATCTTGAAATTTCACTACAATAAAAATGATTTTTAGTGACAAGATTTTCAGTGTCAACAAAAATCTTGTCACTGTTGATAAAATTCGACGATGACTTTTGAAGTCGTTACTACTAAATTTGAGCACACACATGGTTAGTGACAACTTGGGTAAAGGCATTGACTTCTAGTTGTAAGAAATATAGCAATGGTGTTCTTCTTTTCTTTTTCTTTTTTTAATATAGCAATCGTGTTTAATTGCACCATACCACAATCTTTACTGCCTATATAATTCGCAGTTATCTTGGACTCTTAGCTGTGAGTAGGATGTTCTATACTACTCAGTTATACTACTAGTTTCACTCTTTATTTTGACGGCATTCATTAAAATTAGGACAAATTACATTTTATCCCCTTGTGATTTAGTATTTTTTTTATATAACCCCTCCTGTAGTTTCAAAAGTTGTACATAACCCTCTCATGATTTGGATTAAAGTATCAAAGTGATGAAATTTGAAATCCATAACAAAGTCAACTAAAATGTCAAAAATACCCCTATGTAAAATTAAAAATTATTTATTAACCACAGGGGGTTATGTATATATTTGAAAATCATAAAAGGATTATATGGTAAATCATTAAACTATAAGGGGGTTATATGGCAAAATATAAAATTATACAGGATTAGAGTGTCATGCATATTATGTTTATATATATTTTTTACTTTAGCCATTTTAGTTTTTAAACAAGAGTAATTTCGATATTTTCATAGGTTTCATTACGAATGATTATTTCCGTCACTTTGACACTTTAATCTAAACCATGAAGGGGTTATGTATAGCTTTTGAAACCATAAGGGAGTTATATAAAAAATGCTAAACCACAGGGGGTAAAATGTAATTTGCCCAATCATTTATGATGCTGTCAAGTTTTGTGGGCTACATGAACATTTTTTTCTTTTTATCTATTTACCATCCAATGTCATAGCACTACTATTATTTTGAAAGCTTTAGCAGTCAAAAAATTCAGTAGCAACTCATTTTCAAATGGTGGTTTCATATTGAAGAATTTCTCCTATAAATACGCGGTTTGGCAAGGCATTTGGTGTGGCACTTCTACCACCAGAGACTTAAATTCATTTAGGGAATTCTCCTCCTTTTGTGTAGTATTGAGTTTTCTTGTTCAGTCTCTTTCTTATTCTGAGGTATTGGGGCACTAACCATTCCACTACCACCTTTCTTTCTAAAAGCCATCCTGTAGTATTGAGTTTTCTTGTTCAGTCTCTTTCTTATTTTGAGTTATTGGGGCACCAACGATTCCACTATCACCTTTCTTTCTAAAAGCCATCGAGAGAGTTGAGAGTTCAAGTTGGGAAGCCTTTTTTGTTTATTCAATTTTGAGTTTCTCTTTTATATTTGTCTCTCATTTATTTTGGAGCTTTAGAAATTTTGTCCTAGACTTTGTATTCTTCATTATTATTGTGAATTTTGCTCACCTTGTTTTCTAGATGGAGATCTAATTGACCAAACCACGTAAATCTTTGCGTTATTGTCTTTTATTATTTTTCTCCACATTTTGTTATAGCCCTTGTTATTACTTCTGCAGGTTGTCAAATTAACTTTTTCATAATTACCCGAGACCAGATCCTTACAAACTGGTATCACATCCCAGTTATCTCGGGTTCAGTTCTTTTTTTTTTTTTTTTGCTTCAACCATTGTGACGATAACGAAGACCTATACTGTTAAGTTTGATCGAAGTGTCAGTTTCGATTTGTGGCAACTTAAAATGAAAGCTATTCTCATGTAAGATGGAGTAGAAGTAGCGTTACGTCAAAAGGAGAAAAAGCCAAAAAAAATTATGGATGAGCAATCTAAAGAAATGGATAATAAAGCCCTTTTGGCGATTATCCTAAATCTCTCTGATGAGGTTTTGCATGAAATTGCTCAATAAAGACGGCCAAAGACTTGTGGGATAAATTGGAGCTTTTATACATAAAGAGGACGATAGTAAATTGACTCTACTTGAACTAAAGTTTATATAAGCTTTATATGTTTGAAGGTACACAGATAAAGGTGGAATTCTAAATATCACTTCAAGTGCTTTATTGTTATGAAGCCGTACAAGTTTCGTACTTTATATATTTTGCAGAGAGATTTACTATTATAGATGCTGTTACTGTTTCAACATCAGTTTTGCTTGATTCCAATTTTACCATATGCTATTAGGACTTTTGTGACTTTTTGTGGGATCTATTGAGTCTTTTGTGACTTTAAACTTGTTAATATCCATTGAAAACTTTGTGATTTTGGCCCATTGGAATCTATAGATGCTTGTGTGATTTTGGCCTGTTGGGATTTGTTAAAACTTTTGTAAATTAGGCCAGTTGGAATCCATTAAGGCTCTTCTGATTTTGGCCTATTGGGATCTATTTAGGCCTTTGTGATTCTGGCCCATTGGAATCCGTTGAGATTTTGTATTTATAAATTGTTGGGATTTGTTGAGACTTTCGTAATTTAACATGTCGGAATTTGTTGAGGTTTTCATAATGTGCCCATTGGGATCCATTAGAATTTTTTATGATATTGGCTCATTGAAGTTTTCAAGGAGAAGGTGGATCAAGTTTACTATTTTTCGATTTTACTATATGATAGATGCAAAGTGAAGGTGGAGACTTGTTGAAATTTGTCTTTGACATCCTTGTAAAATTATTTATGGTGCTGTCAAGCTTTGTGGGTTACATCGACATTTTTTTCTTTGTACGTATTCACTAGAGGTGGCAAAATGGGCGGGCGGGATTTGCTTGGGTTTGAGATGGAACCGAGTTATATGGGTTTGAGCCAAACCTTACCCATATGTGTTTTGGGACTAACTTGGGCGGGATCATTTTGGGATGAATTTAGATTGATCCCGCCCAATACCCAAATCCATTTCCTACATATTTTTTTTCCTTTAATTCATTTTTTATTTTTTATATAATTTTAATATTTTTGATTTATTAAATTTTTTTTAGTTTTATTAAATAAATATGCAAGTGCTTTATACTCAAGATTCCCACCAAAAATTAGATTAACAAATAAAAGAAAAGATAGATATACAGCTATATTCTAACATATATCAAGATGACCAAGGTCCTTAGGATGTTGAATATTTATCCTGATCATTGTCCAAGGATGACAGATCTAAACTGACTGAAATGCTAGAAATTCTTGTGGATAATGACTAGGAAGACTACTAGATTATATTCGCTGGTATGACTATAAAAATTGTTAAAGATGATTTTTGAATCTAAGACTCCGTTTGGATTGACTATTTTTTCAAAAAATAAGTTTTTCAAATACAATGTTACAGTAATATACAATAACTCAAGAAACATCCCATCCATATTAGTATATCAAATATTTCAAAAAAAAATTTATAGTAAATATTTTTCATATACACTGTTACAATAAAATATTTCAAAAATACCCCCTAAAAACAGCTAATCCAAACGGAGCCCTTGCTATTTGAACCCAATGGGTACCCAAGTATTTCCCACCCTTTCCCATTCATTAATGGGTATAGTTGGGATGTGTCCCAACTTAAACCCAATATCAAATTATAATACCCATCCCGCCCAAAGTTCCTTTGGGCATGGGTAGCCCATTGGGACTTGGGACAAATTGCCAGCTCTAGTATTCACCAGCCTATGTCATACCTCTACTATTATTTTGAAGGCTTTAGCTGTCAAAAATTTCAGTAGCAACTCATGTTCGAATGGTGGTTTCATATTGAAGAATTTCTCCTATAAATACGCGGTTTGGCAAGGCATTTGGTATGCCACTTCTATACCAGAGAAATAAACTCATTTAGGGAATTCTCCCCCTTTTGTCTAATATTGAGATTTCTTGTTTAATCTCTTTCATATTTTGTGGTATTGGGGCACCAACCATTCCACTACTACATTTCTTTCTAAAAGCCAGCCGAGAGAGTTGAGAGTTCCAAGTTCGGAAACATTCCTTGGTTGTTCAATCTTGAGTTTCTCTTTTACATTTGTCTCTCATTTATTTTGCTGCTTTAAGATGTCCTAAGCTTTGTATTCTTATGATTATGAATTTTGCTGACATTCTTCTATGGATATAGGTCTAATTGACCGGACCATGTAAATTTTTGTGTCATTATTATTTAATATTTTTTCCACATTTTATTATAGTCTTTGTTATTACTTTTGTAGGTTGTCAAATTAATTTTTTTTTTCATAATTACTCGGGACCAGATCCTAACTCACGGCTTGGACAAATCCAAAAGATATTGAATTACCCAACGGAAATCCAGCCTAATTGACAGATACAAACGTTGGTAGGTATTGAAAAAGTACAATATTCTACCGAACAATTAGATTCATGTATATGTCTGTGTATGTGTTTGTTTACATATAAAGCTGAACATGTATGAAAGAAACAAATTAGAACTTGACTAGATTTCTAAAAATTGACATTAAAAGACTAGATGGGCCTAATTTACAAGGCTGAAATTCCAATACTTTTTATATAATTGGTCAAAATAAATCCTTTAAACTAATTGAAAGTTTTGAAATTTCAGTGGAAGCTGTGAAATATGCTTAATTGGACCTAAAAAACTTATGCAAAATTTTCCTTTTTCCTCTTTATTTTTTTTAGGTTAATATTTATATTCTCTTCTAAACGACAAGAAGGATACGATTGCTCCATGCAAATCTTCTCTACTCTGAAATTGTTCAAGTTAGCTTTTCTCAGTCACT